CTCGTAGGTCCTTGCCCAGTGTAGTCGATTGACGAACCATCCATTCATTTTCCAGAAATTCATCTCCACAATGGCAGAGATTGGCAACGCCCGAACACTCTTGTAGGCATAATTGATACTCTCACTTGAGTTCGTTGTGGCAATACCCCATCTTGTACCTCCGTCTTTATGAAATGTCCACATGGATAGGTCGTGTCCATCCAGCCACTGTGCCCCTTCAGGGCATAACTCGTGCATCTTCTGCAACTTCTCCTAGAATTTTTTTCTCTTGGTATGCAACAGCTGAGGTAATCACAATCAAGTATTACGTTAGTCATAATTCGTCAATTTAGTACAATTCGAACAACCAACAGGTACTCTCGTTAGACTCTTAAGAGAGGTATACATCTCCTTAGAAACACAACCTGGTTGACAGAAAAAGGGGGGATCCGAGGATCACTTAAAACCCGATTTTCCCAGGAAATGGGAGGACCATGATAATCGCTTAAAACCCCCATTTCCTTAGGCATGCATCTCTTTAGAAAGAGTCTAACAAGTGTGCCATTTATTTGATATAAGATATTGTTATTTGAAAAAATTAAACAACCAATAGAGAGCTTACCAATCCACCACAAATTATTAGCAAGCTTCTTCCGCTGGAAATGATGGTTCCAGTTGCTCTTGAAGTGTCGTATGCACCACCTTTGGGACCACTTCCAGGTTGGATTCAAACCTAATATGGCAGCTCTAATCCCGGCGTGTCGATCAGAGATTATTGTCAGGTTCGTCCTCCTAGTGACGTGGAGCTGAATTTGCCGGAAAACCATCCATAGCTATCAGTATTCTCTCCCTCAACAATGGCGAAGGCTAAAGGAAAGACTTGTTTGTTTGCATCTGCCCTACTGGCAATCAGTAGAGTGCCCTTGTACTTGCCGGTAAGGAATGTACCATCCACTTGGATCACATGGACACAGAAGCCAAACCATTAATAGATGGCTTGAATGCCCAAAAAAGTCGTCTGAAATGGCGTTTGTTACCTGGCTCCGGCGGTTGTATCTCTTCATCTTGGTATCGCGGGGAGAAAACAGTGCCAGGGTTAGACGGCTCCAATGCCAAAATCAACCCGGGAAGGAATGCATATGATTCTTCTCAATCACCAAATACGGCGGCCAGAGCTTTCTGCTTTCCATGTCACGCCTTCTTATAGTTAATCATATAACCATAACGACTTGCAATGTCAGCGATTATGACTTTCACCTTCAGGTCAGGATCTTGCTCAATTATATGCTTGATAGCGGCAACAACCACCCTGGATTTCAACTGTCGATGGTCTTGGGATGTATTGGATGACACACATGTGTGTGTGTTCACCGCACGGGATATGACCCAATGGCCATGTCTCTTGCTGTTGATGGCCCGAATCCTAACATTGCATCCCTCGTTATGATTACGGCATCTGACTATGAGCCTTTTCGTGTTGGAATGAGTTGTGTGCCATTCAAAATGCCGAGTCATTGCCTCAGTATCAATGGCGTGCCGCACCTCCTTATTCGAGCCAAATTGTTGCCCCTTCATAAACCCAGTGAGTGGACCCCATACTGGAACCTCTGGGGGTTCCATGTCGCTGTCGACCATCCAATTGCCGTCTGGAATGTGATTGTAGTAGGGGAATGGTACACGATCATGAGCCACCTCATCATCATTATCTAAGTCTGACTCTGTTCCTGAATCATCAGCACCTTCAAGAGGGTCGGAGCTGTCTGCATTGACGTTGTTCTCTCCTTCTTCATCGGAGGGGTCACTAACTGGTGCTGGCAGGGTATCTTCCATCTAATCCAGCTCATGAAAGCACCTTCATTAGCTCCATAATGGTAGTTGTGAAAACTACCTCTGCCTGATTGGAAGTTGTACTGGGGTTGGTTGGCATGGTCCGGTTGAACTTCTTCTTCATATGACGGGAAAGATTGATGATGACCTTCACCTTGCTCTTGGTACTGAAAATAGGAATGAGGATCATGGTAACTTTGGTAGGGATGATCTCCATATAATTCACCTCCACCATGGATACCATATGTTTGACCGTCTCAAGAATGACCTCCAACGCCTACGACCGCCTCGGTGTAAACGAACATCTCGTCTTTGGAAAGATTGTTGGACCTCAAGAATTCGAGCATGGCATCTACTTCATCCTGAGTGGTTATGAGATATTCCTCATGGCACAACGACCCGCCTTCTCTGTTTGGATATCGGTACACCATACGATCAACTCTTCTCGTGCCATCCATGCAAGTAACTTTAGTACACATTTGATAGAGGTCTTCAAGCATCGGTCTGGTAGTGACCTTTATTTTCTGAAAATTGCCACCGACGTAGGTGACCCCATTTCCGGTTTCTTCCGTGTAACCATTCCACCGTAACCCAAGCGTAAAATTTTGGAATGCCATCTGCAAAAAAACAGTAGTTCAACTAATATCATAAAAATCACAAATCACAAATCACAATTCACAATAAAAAGTAATAAAAAATAAACTTACGAGTTAACGTTAACCGCAAAAACACTAGAGAAGCAGGGAGCTACAACAGAAAATTGAAAAAGGAGAAGAAGAGGTGTGAAGAGAAGAGGTTTCCCAGGCTGTCTTTTATAGGCAAAATCATCAATGAAAACTGCATGGGGAGAGGTGCGGTTTTCATCTGCCATGCAGCCCCACGTCTGTCAACCTGCATGGCAACATGTTTGGTGTCAGAAAATAATTACGACACACAAACCGCATGGGGGGGGGGGGGTGCGGTTTGTGTTGGCAAAACCGCACTTTGGGGGTGCGGTTTGTTTTGGAGAAGCAAAACCGCATCCCCAAAGTGTGGTTTTGCTAGGTCAGCCCAAGACCGCATCCCGGCCATGCAGTTTGTGTTAGGTCAGACCCAGAACCGCATGACCAAGATGCGGTTTTGGCCCAGAATGCTAAACCGCACCTTGGACATGGGGTTTACATACAAACCGCACCAGTGTGGTGCGTTTCACAATCAAACCGCACCTTAAAAGTGCGATTTTTAAAAAAGAGTGCTATTTTTGTAATTTCTTTGGACTGGGTGCTATTTTTGTAATTTTTTTAAAGGTGCTATTTCTGGAAAAATCCCCCAAAGGGCACAGTGGGTGAGAATGTGACTATGTACTCCAATATTATAGTACATAGCATTGACAATTTTATCCACAACTAACTATGTGTAGATGTTGATGATTTTCCTCGCCTTCTCGGTCTAGTAAAGGGAATTCCTTATATTGGCGGGATACGAGGGATTTCTTGTTAAATTCCTATGCTAAAGTGTTCTTTAAAGTTTTTATAATGACTTTTTTTGAGGGAAAGTTTTTATAATGACTTGAGACTTGAGGTAGTATGATGTTATTATTCATTACGTACACATACTATATCTTGCACACGACCTACATAACAACATTCTACAACTTTTATATAAGATACACATAAATTATTTATAGATTATGGATCGATTGACAATTATTTCTTACATAATACTCTACCATCGAGTTATGTAAGTCTTTCGTAATGACAGTACACCTTAACTACCTCGACATCAATTTTTATTATGTAAAAAAGACATTTATTATGTAAAACATATCGTAACTTTGTTTTTAATTATCTATATATTAAAAAAATATTCCATAACGGGACATGCAAAACTTGAGAACAAGTCCAGTCCTACGGCGAGGTGCCCAATAGGGATGGACAATGAGTGGGTTAACCGCTAGACCCACCCGAATCCACCCGATTATAACCCACCCATTGCATGTTAGGGTGGATGTGATGGGTGGTGTGAGTTATCATTTCTGTCACCCACTAAATTTGGGTGGGTGGCAGGTGGGTAGCGGATGAGTCATTACATGCAAAATCACATTATATATTAAGTCGTTAATGCACATTCTATGAAAGAATACTATTTTTTCTATGCCAAAACTTCAATCGTGATTGATTTAATTAAATTACAATCACTTTTTTAAAGTTTACTTGATTTACAACATAAGATTGATCATTTTAAAATATGATAACTATCAACAAAATATTGTGTTCGCAAATGAGATAATTGGTGTTAGATTATGCAATGAACAATGTTTAATAGCTATCGACTTTTTTGATTTGTAGTATTGATATTCAATTAGTTTTATACAAAATTTTATAACTCATAATTGTCTAATTATTTAAAAATACTTTGACTCACCGAAACCGCCAAACCCATCCACCATCCGCTGTCACCCACTCAACCCACCCCCAACGATACAAATGGGTGTGTGTGTCATATTTTCATCACCCACCATAAGTAACTATGAATGATTGGATTTCAAGGTCGTCAAACCGGTTTAAGTCATTGAGCCGGTTAAACAAGGGGTTTGAGGTTTAATGGTCTGGTCGGGGTCCAGCCGGTTTGAGCCGTTTTCTAAATATATATACAAATAAGATAGTAATTAAAGATTTAATGACTGAAATAATATATATCTTACATATATATATATATTAAAAACTTATTTTCCACAAAATAAATCTACCTAACCTCCATAACCCACCTACCATCTCCCTTCTTTCGTTTCTCTTCCTCTCTTCCCCTCTCTTCTTCTCCCTCTTTAGGAGTCAGACCGGGGGCTTTCTAGAGGTCTTTTTGAAACTCGACTCGGATCAGATCGGATCCAACCGAGGATTCGATAAGAATTTAACAACCTTGGTGGATTTTGTCCAAGAACCTACCTAACTCACTCATTGCCCATCCATAGTGCCCCATACTGCTTTTCCAAGCCCGATTCTCCTAACAGCGCCCAGCCCAAGGCATCTAGTTCGGGAGGACTTAAATCCTCATCTCGGCCCATCATCTTCCAGGCCCAAATCGGCCGTCTCTCTTCCCCACAGCTCACTTCTTCGTCGCCAAACAAACACACACATACTCTCATGCCTGTCCGATTTATTTCCGGGATTGGGCCGGGAAAATAATAAATAGATGTTTCCGGCTTTCAAGGCCCGGTAAACGAATCCCAACCTTTTGGAGGCCTTCACATCGTTCCAAAAACGAGAAACTGCAGAAGTCCATAGGATTGAGCTGGAGACCGGAAGCGAAGAATCGGCGCCAGCGGAAAAATTGTGAAGGCGGTGCAGACGAAGAGACGACAGCCGCTGGAGTCTTTAGAGTGAGGAGGAATGTGGTGATTGTTATTTGAAGTTTGCGTAAATACGATCGCTAATGGACATCCGATTCCCTTTCTCTCCGGCGGAAGTCGCCAAAGTCCGCTGTGTTCAATTCGGCATACTCAGCCCCGATGAGATCGTAAATCTCTCTTCTCTGTCTCTCCTCTTCCTTCTCCTTGTCTGGGTTTGGAGCTGTTTGCTGGGAGAGTAGTCACTAGGACATATAATGTTTGAATTGGAACCGGTGTTCTGGGGGTGCTGTGGCGGTGATTGGCAGCGAGTGAATGAAGTAGCTAGGGTTTTACGATTTGAGTTTCATTGACCTCAGAACCGTGTTTCTGAACCTTTTTCCTCTTTTGCTCTGGTTGTCCGCAGAGGCAAATGTCCGTTGTCCAGATTGAGCATAGTGAGACTACTGAGCGGGGGAAGCCCAAGGTTGCAGGCCTGAGTGATCCTCGGTTGGGAACAATTGACAGGAAAATGAAGTGCGAGACTTGCACTGCGAACATGGCAGAGTGTCCTGGCCACTTTGGACACTTGGAACTTGCTAAGCCCATGTTCCATATAGGGTTCATGAAGACTGTACTTAGCATAATGAGATGTGTTTGCTTCAATTGTTCTAAGATTCTTGCAGATGAGGTACCCTCAGGCTCAATCGTGTCATTCAATCAAACTATTATCATGCTGGTCGTGTTCTTTCTTATCAGCATAGCGGCTTTTTTACCCCAGGATGTTTCATACTAGAGCATTATATTGGCCTTCGGTTTAATTGAGTGTGCATGAATTAGGCATCACAACTTGTGCTTCGTTCTTGTGATGCGATGACTCTTGTTGGATGTTGTCAACTTCCTCCGTTTCAATTTTCAAGTTACATAATTTTCCTCCTATTGATTTATGAACAGGAAGACCATAAGTTTAAGCAAGCCTTGAAGATAAGGAATCCAAAACACAAACTTAGAAAGATCCTGGATGCTTCCAAGAACAAGACAAAGTGTGAAGGAGGGGATGAAATTGAGGTTCAGGGTCAAGATGGTGAAGAGCCAGTTAAGAAGAGCCGTGGTGGATGTGGTGCTCAGCAGCCAAAGATTACTATTGAAGGTATGAAGATGAATGCTGAGTACAAGGCACAGAAGAAGAAAAGTGATGATCAGGAGCAGTTGCCTGAACCCGTTGAGAGGAAACAGACACTTACAGCAGAAAGAGTAAATATGTTTCCATGCTTCCACCATCTGGTTTAACCTGTGTTTGGTGCTTATTTACTCTTAATTTTCTTTACAGGTTCTTAGTGTTCTCAAGCGAATAAGTGATGAGGATTGCCAACTACTGGGGCTGAACCCTAAGTATGCACGTCCAGACTGGATGATCCTGCAAGTACTTCCGATTCCACCACCACCTGTGAGGCCCTCGGTCATGATGGATACATCCTCCCGCAGTGAGGCAAGATTCTGATTCCTTATATTGGCTTGAAAATTTTCTGGTTGTTTTGAGTATTCGGTTCTGGACAAGGGGTCTTACTTTAAAGAGGCTACTGTTGATTTTTTGGCCAGCATATATTCTAAGTTTCTGACATTAATTCTTTGCTAAACCCAGGATGATCTTACCCATCAGCTGGCAATGATTATTAGGCACAACGATAATCTAAGACGACAAGAACGGAGTGGGGCTCCTGCACACATCATATCTGAGTTTGCACAGTTGTTACAATTTCACATAGCCACATATTTTGACAATGAGTTGCCGGGACAGCCAAGGGTTTGTGTGCTTCCGAAGATGTTACTGTTTAATCCTATGTTCATAGAATGGTCATTATTCTTAATTTACAAGCATTTGTGTTCGTTCTGCAGGCCACTCAGAGATCAGGGAGGCCCATCAAATCAATATGCAGTAGGCTTAAGGCTAAAGAGGGTCGTATTAGGGGCAATCTAATGGGCAAACGAGTTGACTTCTCTGCTCGTACGGTGATCACTCCTGATCCCACTATCAACATTGATCAACTTGGAGTACCATGGAGTATTGCCTTGAATCTCACCTATCCTGAAACTGTTACTCCGTATAACATTGAAAGGTCCAGATTTTGTTTGTGTTGTTTTCCTTAAACTTGTTTTGTCAGTTTCTCCCACTCCTTAACAAAGCTCTCACTCACCACTCTCAAACAAATAGGAATAGATGTTTTCTAGTTGTTACTGAGGTTGGTTCACTTAAAACAGGTTGAAGGAGCTTGTTGAGTATGGGCCACATCCTCCTCCTGGTAAAACAGGTGCAAAATACATTATAAGGGATGATGGGCAGAGACTTGACCTCCGCTACTTGAAGAAAAGTAGTGATCATCACCTGGAGCTTGGTTACAAGGCATTTTCTTGAACTGGGAAGTTAATTTATGATTATTGTTTCTCTATATTGTGCATTTGAACTCATACTTTATACCCGCAGGTTGAACGACATTTGAATGATGGAGACTTTGTTCTTTTCAATCGACAACCCAGTCTCCATAAGATGTCAATTATGGGTCACAGAATCAAGATCATGCCATATTCAACTTTCCGCTTGAACTTGTCTGTCACTTCTCCATATAATGCCGATTTTGATGGCGATGAAATGAATATGCATGTGCCGCAGTCATTTGAAACCAGAGCTGAAGTTTTGGAGTTAATGATGGTGCCAAAGTGTATTGTTTCTCCTCAGGCCAACAGGCCTGTCATGGGAATTGTGCAGGACTCACTCTTAGGATGCCGCAAAATTACAAAGAGGGATACTTTTATTGAGAAGGTAAATAATCTTCTTGTGCATATTATTCTTTTTAAATAGCTGATACTGGAGCCTATGCCTGTTTGTAATTAGATATGTATTTGACGGCAAAGTGATTACAGGATGTTTTCATGAATATCCTAATGTGGTGGGAAGATTTTGACGGGAAAGTGCCTGCTCCAGCTATTCTGAAGCCCAAGCCGCTCTGGACAGGAAAGCAAGTTTTCAATCTCATTATACCAAAGCAGATAAATTTAATTAGGTTTTCTGCTTGGCATAGCGACTCAGAGAAAGGAGCCATTAACATTACCCCTGGAGATACAGTAGTCAGAATTGAGAAAGGAGAGCTGCTTTCTGGCACTCTTTGCAAGAAGACACTTGGGTCATCTTCTGGAGGACTGATTCACGTTATCTGGTAAGCATTTCAATGTTCACCCTCTTTGGTTCAAGTTTGCCCGCCTCCTACGAGATCCTTAGAATCTTCATTGCTTTCCTCAGAATTATCTAGTTACAATCAGAACTGTTGATATTCCATGGTTTTTAATTCCCGTATCCACCCTGACGAAATTTAATTTATTCCTTCATCTCCTCAGGGAAGAAGTTGGTCCTGATGCAGCAAGGAAGTTTCTGGGACACACCCAGTGGCTTGTGAATTATTGGCTTTTGCAGCAAGCTTTTAGCATTGGGATTGGAGATACAATTGCCGATGCTTCTACAATGGAAAAAATTAATGAAACAATTTCAGCTGCAAAAACCGAAGTGAAAGAACTTATTAGGAAGGCGCAGAATAAAGATTTGGAGCCTGAACCTGGAAGGACTATGATGGAATCATTTGAGAACAAAGTGAACCAGGTGCTGAATTCGTGCTCCTTTCTTCCATGATATATGAATGTGGTTTCTTCTGTGAACTCTCTTCTGATATTCTTCTCATAACTTCTCTGTTTTAGGTCCTGAACAAAGCTCGTGATGATGCCGGAAGTAGTGCACAGAAAAGTTTATCTGAAAGCAATAATCTCAAGGCAATGGTCACTGCTGGATCAAAAGGGAGTTTCATTAATATTTCACAAATGACTGCTTGTGTTGGACAACAGAATGTTGAGGGAAAACGGATACCATATGGCTTTGTTGACCGAACATTGCCTCACTTCACAAAGGACGACTATGGGCCCGAAAGCCGTGGGTTTGTGGAGAATTCATATCTCCGTGGGTTGACTCCGCAAGAGTTCTTTTTCCATGCAATGGGTGGTAGGGAAGGTCTCATTGATACTGCGGTGAAAACATCTGAGACTGGATACATACAGAGGCGACTGGTGAAGGCTATGGAGGATATAATGGTAAAATATGATGGTACTGTGAGGAACTCATTGGGGGATGTGATTCAGTTCCTTTATGGGGAAGATGGAATGGATGCTGTCTGGATTGAATCACAAAAGGTGGAGTCACTGAAAATGAAGAAACCTGACTTCGATAAGTTCTTCAAGTACGAAATTGATGATCCCAATTGGAGACCTAATTACATGTTGCCCGAACATGTCGAGGATTTAAAGAACATACGGGAATTGCGTGATGTGTTTGATGCTGAAGTTGCAAAGCTTGACGGAGACAGAAAGCAACTTGGAACCGAGATTGCCACCACTGGTGACACTTCCTGGCATTTGCCTGTTAATCTTGCGAGGCTCATATGGAATGCACAGAAGACATTTAAGGTTGACACAAGAAAGCCTTCAGATATTCACCCAATGGAGGCTGTTGAAGCTGTTGATAAGTTGCAAGAAAGGCTGAAGGTTGTCCCTGGTGAGGATCGATTGAGTGTGGAAGCTCAAAAAAATGCTACTCTCTTCTTCTCAATCTTGCTCCGTAGTACGTTGGCAAGTAAGAGGGTGCTCCAAGAATACAGGCTCAGTCGTGAAGCGTTTGATTGGGTTATTGGTGAAATAGAATCTCGTTTCTTGCAATCATTGGTTGCTCCAGGTGAAATGATTGGTTGTGTTGCAGCACAGTCTATTGGGGAGCCTGCTACTCAGATGACTCTCAACACATTTCACTATGCTGGTGTTAGTGCAAAGAATGTCACCCTTGGTGTCCCCAGGTTGAGGGAAATCATTAACGTAGCCAAGAAAATAAAGACACCTTCTCTTTCTGTTCTTCTGCAACCAGAATGGAGCCAGACAAAGGAGAGGGCTAAAACTGTCCAATGTGCCCTGGAGTATACAACCCTGCGAAGTGTTACACAAGCTACCGAGGTTTGGTATGATCCGGATCCCACAAGTACAATTATTGATGAGGATGCTGATTTTGTGAGATCTTATTACGAGATGCCAGATGAAGAGGTTGCACCTGAAAAGATTTCTCCTTGGCTGCTTCGTGTAGAGTTGAACCGTGAAATGATGGTTGATAAGAAACTAAACATGGCTGACATTGCTGCCAAAATCAACCTCGAGTTTGACGATGATTTAACTTGCATCTTCAATGATGACAATGCTGAGAAGCTGATTCTCCGTATCCGTATCATGAATGATGAAGCCCCTAAAGGCGAGCTTACTGATTCATCAGCTGAAGATGATGTTTTCCTGAAGAAAATCGAGAGCAACATGCTGACAGAAATGGCTCTGAGAGGTATTCCAGATATCAACAAGGTCTTCATCAAGCATGGCAAAGTAAGCAAATTTGATGACAATGACGGCTTCAAAACGGTGGAAGAGTGGATGCTGGATACTGAAGGTGTCAATCTGTTGGCTGTCATGTGTCATGAAAGTGTTGATGCCAAGAGGACAAGTAGCAATCACTTGATTGAAGTTATTGAAGTGCTGGGAATTGAGGCAGTTCGTCGTGCACTTCTTGATGAGCTCCGGGTCGTTATTTCTTTTGATGGATCATATGTGAATTACAGGCATCTTGCTATATTGTGTGATACCATGACATATCGTGGTCACTTGATGGCAATTACTCGGCATGGTATCAACAGGAATGACACTGGACCTATGATGAGGTGCTCGTTTGAAGAAACTGTTGACATCCTCCTTGATGCTGCTGTATATGCTGAGTCGGATTATTTGAGGGGTGTGACTGAAAATATCATGCTAGGTCAGCTTGCACCTATTGGCACCGGAGGGTGTGCCTTGTATCTGAATGATGAAATGTTGAAGAATGCCATTGAACTGCAGCTTCCCAGTTATATGGAGGGTATGGAGTTTGGGATGACACCTGGTCGTTCTCCAATATCTGGAACTCCTTATCATGAGGGGATGATGTCTCCAAACTACTTGCTGAGCCCAAGTCTACGCCTCTCGCCTATCTCAGATGCTCAGTTTTCACCTTATGTTGGTGGTATGGCATTTTCCCCTGCATCATCACCTGGGTACAGCCCATCGTCTCCAGGCTACAGCCCTTCTTCTCCAGGATACAGTCCGACATCACCTGGATATAGTCCGACCTCGCCTGGGTACAGTCCCACTTCGCCAGGTTACAGCCCCACTTCACCAACATATAGTCCCAGTTCTCCTGGGTACAGTCCAACAAGTCCGGCCTACTCTCCAACAAGCCCGTCTTACTCCCCTACCTCTCCGAGCTATAGCCCTACATCCCCAAGCTACAGCCCCACATCCCCGAGCTACAGCCCCACGTCACCGAGCTATAGTCCCACATCCCCGAGCTATAGTCCTACTTCTCCGGCGTACAGTCCTACTTCACCGGCGTACAGTCCTACTTCACCGGCGTACAGCCCTACATCACCATCTTATAGCCCGACCTCTCCTTCCTACAGCCCTACTTCACCTTCATATAGTCCTACGTCTCCGTCCTACAGTCCGACGTCTCCTTCATATAGCCCCACTTCACCTGCATATAGCCCCACTTCGCCCGGGTACAGCCCGACATCGCCGAGCTATAGTCCTACGTCTCCAAGCTATAGCCCGACGTCGCCGAGTTACAATGCGCAGTCAGCAAAATACAGTCCTTCACTTGCTTACTCACCAAGCAGTCCCAGATTATCCCCTGCTAGTCCTTACAGTCCTACATCTCCAAGCTATAGGTACGCATGAATGTTGGGAAGTGATTTACTTGATTTGCATTTCGCAGCAATTTGTTGATCTTTCTGGTGGTTACAATTTTATGATCTTGGGCTAATTTTTATTTTATCCCTTGTGTGCAGCCCTACTTCACCTTCATATTCACCTACGTCTCCATCATACTCCCCATCAAGCCCAACCTACAGTCCCAGCAGGTAATTTTTCTGTCTTCTGTTCTTGCCGATTAGTGTCTATGTGGAATGACTTGTCTACGATGACCTTTGGGTTTTTTCTCCTCACCTGTTTTCCCCACTCCATGTAATTCGGGCTTCTGTTATTGCTGATTAGTGTCGGTGGAACTACTTGTCTATTTCATACGATGTCGATCGACCTTTTTGCAATGCCAGCATGTGCAAGGGAAACTCATTGATTTGTGTATTTGTTGCAGCCCGAGTGCAGGGTATTCACCAAGTGCACCGGGGTACTCACCATCATCTACAGGACAGTAAATGTGGCGAGAAAGGCAAGAGATGGGTGGAACACAAATAGAATGAATGGACTTGGGGGTTGCCTCAAGTGAACTGGAATACAAGGGCAGGGTTTCACCTTGACTCTTGTATTTAACGTGATCATGGACATTGGTGATTAACAATAAGAGATTGGAAGAGAAAATGAGGGGCTTTTATTTTTCTCCTAGTGGAATTAAGGAATGGATGATAAATACAATTTGACTGAGTAGGAGGGAGGGACAGTTTGGCAAACTCAAAAGTTTGGTTTCTGTTGCTTGTATTATCTGAAGCCAATTGCCCATTTGATTTTTGTAGCGGTTCTGGCGTTCTGCAATCAAGTCAGAAGCTGTGGTGGAGGTGATTGAAATCATTTGCCAATTGAGTAAAACTAAAACAGTAAGCTGTGGTTTGGTTTAGGGATGGCAACAAAACCCAAATTCACGGGTACCCTACACGATCCAATCTGGTCAATGCAGGTAAAATCTGTGTTGATGGGTTTCGGGTCGGGATCGGGTTTAAACTCGTTAAACTTTCACCGGGTTGGGTTTGGGTTTAGGGATACTCGACCCATGGATACTTGCTCACACTTATTACGTCGTCGACTCTCTCCAAACTCTATTGTAATTCTAATTTTTCCCAATCTAATTTACAATTTGTATGAATAATTTTGATTTGTTTGAATTTTCTAGACTATATGAAGAATTTGTGATTTGTTTGAATTTTCTAGACTAGTGTTTTATGTATGGATAATTCGTATGTAGAAATTGATGTTTGACTTTTATTTTGATAGAAACTTGTTAATGTAAATGTTGATGCCAAGCTTAGTGCAGCCTGCTTCAATATGTTTAAGGTCCGGAGAGCGTTGATTTTCCAAAGCCACTTCCAGCTCCGTGCGAATGCTTGAAAAAAAAGGTCCCACCGGGGGTGTCCTGGTTGGAACCTCCTCCGACGCTCTAATTAGTAATCTGAAGGGAATAAAACAAATACGATGATGTTAGACCTGGTTTGGTCCCACGGTCGTAATTGAGCGCCGTCGGCTATTTAATGCCGCCCGGTGGAGACTATCCACGATTCCATGGCTTAGTCCGCCAAAGTGAGGGTGTGTTGGGTGTTTAGAGGTTTAACACACGTTTTAGGAGATCGAGAGGAGAGAGAAAACGTTTTTAGAGAGAGAAAGTAGAGAGAGTGTATTGTGTGTGAGTTGTGGTGTGTGGAGGGACTTATGTTGTGTGTGACTTGTTGTGTTATGAAAGGGGGAGGGGTGCTCCCTATTTATAGGAAAAAATCGTAGTTGATTCCTCGACTTACGTTAACAATCACCAACATTCTCCATTATTCCCCTATACTCGCCGATATTCTCCGTTATACTTTAACATTCTCCATCATACACCAACATTTCTCAATCATTATGGTATATGAGAATATCCAATGTATGCAAAAGTATGAGAAAGTGTAAGTATATAAGGGAAGATAAAGGAGTATGGGTAATGTAAGCGAGAAACATTTACGTATATGCATGAATATGTACGCAAGTAAATGAATATGTAAGAAAATGAAAGAAAGATGAGGAATGAAGGAGAAAGTGTAGGAATGTGTATGAAAGTGTAGGAATGTGTAGGAATGTGTATGAAAGTGTATGAAAGTGTAGGAAAGTGTACGAATGTGTATGAAAGTGTAGGAATGTGAAGGAAAATAAGATAAACAATAATAATCATATAGTAATTAGGGCTGGGCATGCGGGCGGATCATCCGCGGGTTTGGGCCGACCCACCCGCATTTGACCCAAATTTCGTTAAGTGGGTGGGTCTGTGGGTGGGTGAAGGGTTGCGCTGGGAGCCATCCGCCGGGTGGTGGGTGGGTGTGGGTGAGTGTGCGGGTGACCCGTTCAACCCAACAACAAAAAGATCAAAGTCGTTGGCGCTAGAGAGAGGAGAGTGGAGACGTTAGATATAAACTCGGACTGTTCCTAGAGTTTGAACCTCAAAGCCAACCTTCCAAATAGAGATCCCCTCTTCTTCCCTTTACTTTTTCCTCTAATTATTGTGCCTAGATCACCGCTCTTTCCTTTGTAGAATTATTTTTCTTAGTTCTTTGCACCTAATAATCGTCTCAATCTGTAGAAAACTCTTTCATAATAGAATTTCTATCCAATTTAAGAACTAATTCGACATTTTCCGCCCTATTTCAACTTCTTGTTTCCCTCGATGATTCTCTTCACCAATTATCATGTCAAATTGAATCCTTTATATTATATACATTGTGATGTGGGTGAACCCACAAACCCACCCGCATCATCCACCATCCGCCCGACCCAACCCGAGACTAAATGTGGGTGGATGGTGGGTTAAAAATTATCAATCCGTTTAAGCGCGGGTGGGTGCATTTTATGGTCAAAATTCACCCGACCCACCCAATGCCCACCCCTAATAGTAATAATAATCATATTCTTATGGAATATAATAAGATATAATATATTTAATAATTTTTAATAATAATTGGTGTAAAAATATTTTATTTCAATGGACAGGTGAAGTAGGTGAATACCGGGTCCATCAAAAATTAATTACAATAAAAATCCATGGGTACCCATGAACCCGTGGATACCCAGCGGGTTGGGTTGAGTTTGAGTTTTCCAAACCCATTGAGTTTTACCTCGGGTTTCTTTTGACGTATAAACCCATGGGTTTGGCAAAACCCGACCCATTGCCATCCCTAGTTTGATTGGTGTGAAAGATATGGAGTTGGGGCATGGCTTTTGGTTTTTTTTTTAGCGTTGGTTGGTCGTTTCATTAAATCTAAACATGGTGTACAAAGTTACAATCAACACTGAAAGGAAGGAAAAGAGTTATTGATTAAGATTTTATTAATTAACGCCCTAACTTTTTAAAATTTTCACCCTAAAATTACCTATTTGACGATTTTTCCCCCAACTTATTCCCAATCCATAACCAAGTTTCACCCTAGGGATTCATCGGCCTTCTTTCCTCCACCGCTTCCAGGCCTTCCGCCGCGCCGATCAAAGACACGGAAGAGAGGAACGGATCTCCCGCCTTCTTTCCTCCAGAAATCGACAACGGTCGCCACCCTCTGCTTCACCGAAACTAAACCGCTGACTCCCTCACCTTGGTTGAGCTACCCACTTCCCCTTCTTTCCTTCATAAATCGACGGCGGTTGCCGTCTTCTGCTTCCCCATCGCCAAAACTCAACCGCCAAAACTCAACCATGGCCGCCCTGAACGAAATTGACAACCTTCCCCTTCATGCTTCCCCATCGTCGATCCATCCCCTTCCCCTTATTTCCGCCCAACTGCTATGACGAAACTCAACCGCCGCCACCTCATCTTTGCTAGGTTCTGCTCCGCCGGTTCAATCGTCTCTACTAGGGGTGTACATGGGGCGGGTGGTCCGGGTTTAGAAATATTAAACCTAAATCCACCCAAAAAAAATTAAATCCTACGGTTTTTTTCTAATTGGGTTGGGTCGGGTTGGCGATATTTTTAAGTAAAAACCCAAGCCAACACAAAATATGTAATTATTCTACACCATAAAATATTTTATAACTAATTAAAAATTTAAACGAATAAACTGAGGTGAAAGGTATCAAAATTCACAAATGTTGTTTGAATTTTTATAAAATTTGATTTACTTCAATTTATGTCTAGTTTTTTACATGACATTTATCGAAATAGGCTAAAAAGGTTATAAATGAACGCATCTATAATACGTTATTCTATCAAAAACACAAGAAAAAGGATTACGTGAATCAAAGCTATATCAAATTTATGTCTAAACTTTAAGCCGAAGAATGAATTAGACTAGGGAGACCATGAGAGAAAAACATGCCGAAATATCTTAATTTTCACATAAGTATGACTATATACGACATAAATATTTTTTTGGATACGAACTAATACCAATAATTGGAACACGGGTTGAGTCGGGTTCTACGAGTTGTGTAATCCAAAATCCAAACCCAACCCAAAAGAGGTGGGTTGTACAAAAGAAAATGCTCACCCAATCCAAAGCCTTCGTTCTAGCGATAAATACGGGTGGGTTGGGTCGGGTTGGATGTGTGGGTTGGTTTGCGTGTATGTTTGTTCACCCCTAGTCTCAGCTCATGCCGAGCGATGGTTTTTAGAGGAGTAAGAAGGAATCGTCCGCTTGGCTGCGGGTCGAGCCGACCCCTCCATCCGACTCATCGCGGGTCGACCAGGAATGGCTGGTTCTGCTTTGCATGTCCAGCCGGCGTCGATTTCTGGAGGAAAGAAGGTGGACAGCGATTGAGGGCGTTTCCCCTTTGCTTAATGTCAATTTCGTTTAGGACGGCGACAATCGAGGTTTGGCAGAGTAGAGGGCGCCAGCCTGCGTCGATTTCTGGAGGAGAGAAGGTGGACGGCGATTGAGGGCGCTTCTCCTTTGCTTAATGTCAATTTCGTTAAGGGCATCGGCGATTGAGTTTCGGCGGAGCAAAGCGCGGCTGCCGCAGTCAATTACTGGAGGAAAGAAGTTAGGGCGATCAATTCGGGTTAGAGGCAAAATTGTACCTGCAGTCGGGTTAGGGCGATTAATTTAAATTGTTAGGGCGTTAAATATAAATTCATTTGATTAAGAGTAAACCTAATAGTGGACAACACAAGCCCTAACGCGAAAGCCCAAACCCGGTCCAACCCCAAGGAAGGAAACTTTAAAAGTATGTTGTTTGTTCGGCTTATTAGAGAATTGGAGTTGCAGCATGGATGTTTTCTTGATTGGGTTTTGGTAAAACCCGCAATCGCCCTAATTCACCAATTCTAAAAGAGGGTATTGTTTACACTTAACCAAAAAATTGTCAACGTAAGATTTTATAGTGTTCACTGGGTTGGATTCGGTTGAGTACCTGTGAGTGCATGTTCAAATGCCATCCCAAGTGATATTTATTGTACTTCATTCTAATATCGGGGGGAGGGGGGAAGAGTTAAACTTGAGTTTGCGAATCATATGTTTATTACTTATTATTATTATGATGTATTTGATCCGCATTTTGTAGCAGGACGATGTTATCAATGTTAGAAGTATTGGGTGTGGATTGTAATTAGACTTTAATCATTGTGTTAGTTGTATTGGTTAATTACATTCTGGTAATTGAGATAGGGTTATTCGCCCATGATAAATAGGTGAAGTTGGCTGTACGTGTAACCTAAGGATTTTTGGTTAATACAATTGACTCTTTTCCTTCCTTTCAGTGTTGATTGTAACTTTGTACACCGTGTTTAGATTTAATGAATAGCTCTTTTAAGGACTACCACTTTTATCGTAGCCATAATTTTGGAATGTACGTTGATCCAAAATCCCCGTATATCCAAAAATAATTTTTGTTTTAAAAATTCCTTCCTAACTGTGCTTATTCAGTTTAACCGCACCGACATCGTTTTCCCACCTGGGGTTGATTAATAAACATTCTAGTGGGTGGGAAAAAGATTTCGGTTTTGCGATTAAACTGGAATTGCACCGAATAAGTACAGTTAGTGGTTAACCGCAAACCGTTTAAAGGGGGTCATATTCGGTCGCGGTTAGCAAAATTGGTCATTCTACGGTTTGTGAACTAATTACCGCAAACCGCACCAAATAGCAAACTAACCGCATATTGCATAAACTGTAGAATATTTGGCCTACCCAATAAAAAATGTTTCATGTCGATCGGCCCAACCACCACCAATCCTCTTTCAACGTAAATCCTATCCAATCCATTATGTTTTCCTATATTGGAGGCCGACAACATCTTCACCAAATCCATTTTTTTATTTTTGTTTCTATCATCTTCGACTACATGATTAAGCATAACTAACCGCAAACCGCAATTTGCAGTGCAGTTGCGATTGATGATTTTGTCCTTATTCGGTGTAGTTAACCGTAACCGCACTGTTTCCCACCCCTAGTATTTATGGAGCCGATTTAGTAAGTATTATTGGATCAAAGTAACCATTCTTGTGTTCTTTAGCAAGCATTTAGGTTACTACTTACTAGTGACCAGTAACCATTCATGGGTCCATTAGCAAGCATTTAAGGGTTAGTACTAATCATTTAGCGGTCAATTAGAGGCGATTGGATGGACTATATTTGTAAAATATTCTCTCATTTTACGATGTAAATACACTGAAAACTTACTTTACCCTCAACGTTCATATAGGTCACCTAAAAATTTGAGTTGAGAATCGAGAAGGCAGTAACTAGTGAGAGCTCTTATGATTAGGGATGAAATTTGGCTAGACTTGCCTCTGATCCTATGAGAACCCTATCTGATATGTTCTCGTAGGGTTAATTTATAAAACTAGCATGTCTTGTCCTTGTTTTCTTTTTGAACCTGTATGATGTTTTAGGACCCGATCGAATCGGTTTGGGCCGAACCAGTGGGTCTGCTCAAACCAATCGACACATTGATGTTTGAAAATTACATTTTGATACCTAAATTTATTTTTTTCTTATAATTTGGTACCTAAAATGTAATATTTTAACAAATAGGTCTAGAAATTATGGTGATAAAACTTATGGTTTACTACCTTAATTATTTTTTTTAATTTGCATTATAGTATCCTACTCATAAAACTTTACAAATAGGTACAATATGTTGGTATGGAGAATTTAATATCACTAATTATTGGTATAGTCATATGACAAAAAGTGATCCCACGCTATCCAACCCTTACAAGGTAAAAAATGATCCAAAGCTAAACGGCCACTATAGACAAATTGACCCGACTCAACTCTTGAAATTGCGGGTCGGATCAGTGTGCGACTAGGGAGAGGCTTACAGCCGTACTTATGATTGCCACAATCAACCTGATAAACCAAAAAGATCAATTGGGAAAATGAGTAAGAATTGTTTTTTAAGTTTTCAGGCTGCGCTGGCTCCCATTCGTTACCCAGTTCAGAATTACTTGCTGCCCAAGTTGCCATTGTGGAGGTCAAACAAGGCGTCTAGCTATACTGCATATATTATTGCAATAGAATAAAGTCAAGTGTGGGTCCAGATCACGTTAGTAATCTTTTCATGAGTAACTCGTCAGTAACCTCATTCTCTGTCCCTATGTGTCAGCCTTTCTTCCCCACCCCGTGGTTCAAAGCGATCTGCTTCAACGGCAGGCCAATCGGCGCCATCTCCGTGACTGAGAATTCAGGGGACGACACTTGCCGCGGGGAGATGGGCTACGTGCTGGCGTCGGAGTACCGAGGAAAGGGATCAAAACGGAGGCGGTGGAGATGGCTGTGAAGGCGGTATTTGAGGAGCGGGTGGAGGTAGTGGCGACCCAGAAATTTTTTAATAGGGGCGTCCTCTCTTAAAAATTAAATTAAATAAAAATAAAATAATTAATAAAAATAAAATTGTAAATATGAAAATACCTTACTCGTACAGGTTAAAAAAGTCCACGAAGTGTTTTCATATTCGGAAATATTTGTAGAATACACTTGGTGTCTATAGTGTTTAAAAAAATTGTCTCTATATACACTACTAGACAATCATTCACGAACTTATCGCATATTCGATTTGTAAACTTGTTCTTGATGTAACCCAAAGGTGAAAGACTCTTTCAACACTTGCCGTACAATCATAAAATCAATACAAATTAAGGGTAGTTTGAAATTAGTTTAATTGTTAGGTTTTTAAAATAATTCGAGATAGGGAATGCCATTTTACTATTACACATTGTTCAAAATCGAACAACAAATGAGTTTCGCTCAACGGAAATTAAGTTTATTAATAATAATAGTGTTCTAGATTTAAATTATCCAACCTACCACTTATATTCCTATACACAAATGACACTAGGATAATCATTTTTTTCAAATTTAAGGAGTGTACCTCACTATCAAAATTTTTTTTTGTCCATACGTAAATTACCACCGGAGGTTAGATAATCATTTTCCCAAAATTTAGGGGTGTCCGGGGACACCCCTAAACCCCCTGGGTCCGCCCCTGTGTGGAGGCGTTGGTTGATGTGGAGAATGTTGGGGTCGCGGTGGGTTTTGGAGAAGGCTGGGTTTTGCAGGGAAGGTGTGTTGAGGAGGTACGTGGTTCTAAAAAGGAGGACTCGTGATATGGTGATGTTGTTTTGTTCGTTTAGTTGGGTTCCTCTGTTTCCCCCCTGTTGTGTGAATGCCTCTGTTTTTTCGCTCTGTATGTGAATTGAACTTTTTTGTTTTTGGTTTGATTATTAGTGCATTTGCTTGCACCCGAAGCTGCAACCCCATTACTTTAAAGCCTTTTAATCCTCAATCATTGACCAAAAATCTCAATCAAGCTAGGCGGCCAGTGGGATCAGTTAGCGTGACTACCTCTAAAGGGGTAGTGATTTTTGACACCCCCTTTATGATTGGCCAATTTTATTTCCAATCATTGGCAAGTATTAATTAAACTGATTTTTTATTTTTTTTAATCTTGTAATTTGGGGTCTCTCACCACATTGGAAAAGAGAAAGAATCTGGGGAAAAACGAAATCACCCCCATTAATTACATAATTAATTTCTCTCACTGGTACATTAATTACACGTACCACTCCACTGGTACACGTACCACTCCACTGGTACACGTACCACTCCAATGGTACACGTACCACTCCAATGGTACACGTACCACTCCACTGGTGCGAGCAATCCACAAGGTAGGTTAGAGTGAGAACAATACCAGTGCAATGATATTTTTCATAACAATGATAAACAATAATAGGGAAAAAATAGGAACTTTCCATTAGTAGCCAAAAACTGTGCCAAAAGCAATAAATTATCCTTCGAATGTGAATAAACATAAAGTCTTCACAATTTTTTAAGCCTAAACAGGACATATGGTTACACGTACCACTCCACTGGTACACGTACCACTCCACTGGTACATGTACCAGTGGAGTGGTACGTGTACCAGTGGAGTGGTACGTGTACCAGTGGAGTGGTACGTGTAATTAATGTACCAGTGAGAGAAATTAATTATGTAATTAATGGGGGTGATTTCGTTTTTTCCCCAGATCCTTCCCCATTCATAATTACCAACGTTTTTCTCCTTCCCCATTCATAATTATTATCACAATTAAGGCTTTCCCAATTTACAAGATTACAATAAATAAAGTAAAAAGCTTAAATGGAAAAGTGACCAATCAAGAGGAGGTGTCAAAAACCACTACCCCTTTAGGGGTTAGCATAATATCCGACCCCGCGGCCAGTACATCCTCTATACAGAGCTACAAATCCATGGCCAGTCCACCAACCACCCAACTTCCAGGCAATTTCGCTCCCGATCCAATCATCTTCTATTTATTCATCGCCAAAATGATTTCATTAGCTCACCAAACAGTCCAAACAAGAAGAAAAAGACATGGACCCAGAAACAGCAAAAGGCACCGTTTCCGAAACCGTCACCCTCCGACAGCTGGAAGTCTCCGACGTCGACGATTTCATGGTGTGGGCTGGAGACGAGAGAGTGGCGAAATTCTGCACGTGGGAGCCGTGCACCAACAAAGACCAAGCCCTCGATTTCATAAAGAGCAGGGTCATCACTCATCCGTGGCTCAGGGCGATCTGTCTCGAAGGCAGGCCAATCGGTACCATTTTGATGACCAGAGATTCCGGCGGCGGCGATGCTTGCCGCGCGGAGATCGGGTACCACGTGGCGTGGCAGCACTGGGGGAAAGGGATCGCGACGGCGGCGGTGAAGATGGCGGTGAAGGATGTGTTTGCGGAGTGGGGGCCGCAGCTGGAGCGGGTGGAGGGTTTGGTGGATGCGGAGAATGTTGGGTCGCAGAGGGTTTTGGAGAAGGCTGGGTTTTGCAGGGAAGGTTTGCTGAGGAAGTATTTTGTTCTCAAGGGGAGGACTTGTGATATGGTGATGTTTAGCATTTTGGCTACTGATGTACTTCCTTGTTGAAACTTATCCAGAGGTGTATTATATTGTTTGTTTCTTTTGCTCTATTTTCTCTCTGTTCTTTGGCCGAATCAAGGGGATTTTTCCATAGTAACTTCTTACAGAAAAAGTGGAACCGAAAGGAGCGCTCTCTTCTCCCATGTTCCCCAATTTCTCGAAGCGTAACCGCCGCGATTCACCTTTCCGGCTGGTGGTTCCTTTATCGCCGCCGTGCGAATCAGCCGTTGGTTGTGCATCGCCGATTTGGGCTTCTCCTCCACTCATGGAGATCTTCAATCCTCCTCCCTTGAGGCTCTCATGCACTTTTATTTCTTGCAATACAGTTCCTATGGCAATGGATTGTGTTTGTCGTGGATGGATCAGCATGCTCCTCAAACCCGGGTTCGAGCATTTTCCCCGTGGCATCTCTTTTCGGACTGAATCTTGGATCCACAACTCCAGATTTTTGTCTTGTATCAAGAATTTTCTGGCTTTGAGTCTCATATTCTTGGTGTGATTGGATGTCTCTGTTAGTTTGTTTTTTCTTCCTTGGCAGTAGGTATTTTTTCACTTTCTCATTCTTTTGGTCGTGAGGGGCCTGGTATATTCTGCTATGGGTTGGTTGCTCTGCAAATGCCTCTGCTGGTGGTGTTTGTTTTGTCTGAGTTCTGATTTGGTAGGACTCCTTTTTAAGTGGTTTGATTGGTTGAATGGCTTCATGGGACTGCTTGTCCATTTCACTTAATCTTCATTTTGGAATTCATGTTTTGCTTTTCATTGCTTCGCTGATGCATCTGGGTGCATGGGGTATATGAGTTTTCTTTTGTCTTTGGATCTTCTTTGTATTAGAATTGCTAGAAATATATATTGCTAGTTGCTAGACGAACTCTTGCCAAATAGAAGTGTTTGTTTGCCTTTTGTTTGCTAGTTTTGCAACTTGTAGGGGTCGGTTACTGTTTCCCCGCGGAACCAACTCCCACCTGCGACTCATCCTAGGCGCCCACAATCACCTCCTACCTGCCCATCCGCTGGTCTACTGCTTCGGTTTGATGGTGAGACAAGGCGGGGAATAGGAGGCAGCATAGGATTCGTTGGCTTCACCGGTGATCGATCATTAGTCTGCATGTACGGTAAGTTCTATGATGATATCTCGGATCCTTTCTTAATGGAGTTATTGGCTTTAAGAGATGCAATGTTATGGAGTTTAAACCAAGATTATTCTTTTGTTTGCTTTTGTGGGACTCCCAATTGGTGATACGCCGAGCAATGGAGAACGATGCCAACATGATCGAGGTGGCGTGGTACTTGAAGAATGCGGCTATTAAAGACCTCCTTTGCATTTGTATCTTTTGTTTTTGCTCCTTGTAGTACTAACAGGGCTGCCCATCGCGTGGCACAAACGGCCCTTGCATCGGTAGCGACCCATTTGGTTGACTACCGCTTTTTCATTTTCAACGTACTGTAATACTCTATCTATTACAAACTATCTATGACAAAAAAAAGGGGATTTTTCCATAGCACTGGTTAATTCCCCCCCCCCCCCCCCAAAATAGCATCCAACTCCGAAAAATTCCAAAAATAGCACTCTTTCTGCAAAACCGCCACCCGTAGAAGCGGTTTAGGCGAAAACCGCAACCCGGGGGTGTGTTTTCGATGAAAAACGCACTGGTAGGGGGCGGTTTTGCAGACCGCACCCCCACCATGCAGTCTGTTTTTTTTTTTGAAAAATCCTAACCTAGGTGGAAACTTCAAACGATCGTATCTTTGTGTTCGGGTATCCGATCGTCGCGAATTTCTTTTTGATTCCGCATAACCTTTTGAGATCTTGCAAGTCTAAGACTGCCGAAGGTGGTTTGGTCCCGCCTTCGTCCCAAAAAATGTCGTTTGCTACCCCGAACGAGCTTTTTTCTGATTTCGTCAAACTTTGGTTAACCATAACTTTGTGCTCCAAAATCCAAACGACATGATTTTTTTTTATTTCGCATAAATTTTTAAGGAATACAACTTTTATCATAGACATAATTTCAAAATGTACGTGGATTGCTGAGAAGGGAAGGTAAGCTATTCCCAAAATCCTGTATATCCAAAAATAATTCCTGTTTTGAAAATTCATTCCAGTAATAATTTTAGTCCTTAAAAAGTTCTGCGAAAAAAAAAAATTCATGCCGTTTGGATTTTGGCACAAAGTTATGGTTGTCCAAAGTTTGACGAAAAAGGAAAAAAGCTCGTTCGGGGTAGCAAACGACATTTTTTGGGACGAAGGCGGGACCAAACCACCTTCGACAGTCTTCGGCTTGCAAGATCTTAAAAGGTTACGCAGAATAAAAAAAAATTCGCGACGATCGGATACCCGAACACAAAGATACGTTCGTTTGAAGTTTCCACATAGGTTAGGATTAAAAAAAAAAAAACAGACCGCATGGCGGGGGTGCGGTCTGCAAACAAACCACATAGTGGGGGTGCGATTTGCAAAACCGCCCCTAACAGTGCGGTTTTCATCGAAAAGCGCGCCTCCGGGTGGCGGTTTCCACCTAAACCGCTGGTACGGGTGGCGATTTTGCAGAAAGGATGCTATTTTTGAATTTTTTTAGAGTTGGGTGCTATTTTTAGATTTTTTTTTAAACAGTGCTACTTTTGAAAAAAATCCCGAATTAAGGTTTCCGAACTTGAATTTGAGACTTTCCTCAGTTCCTGTAGAGGCTCGTGTGCTTCAACTTCGTCAAGTAGGATCTTGGGGGCTTGAAGTATCTTTAATTCTGACGTTGAGAATTGCAGTTGCTAAGATGCTCTATTTTCCCATTTTGGTATCATTCTGATGATATTATGGTCCTGAGCTGTTTCCTGTTTATGTTTTCATACCCGTCTTCTGATATGTTTATGAACCTTCACATTTGGTAGAGAATCTATTTGTATGTGACCAACCAGCATCACAAAGGCGAGGCTTAAATGAAGAAGAAGCATGATGACATACACTTGGATGCGGCATGATTCACATTTTAGAAAGGGTTATAGGTATAATATGCCCCTCTATTATGACGTTTTATCAAACATGCCTCTTTACTAGTTTTTAAATTAAACATGCCCCTGTACTTTGGAAAACTTATCAAACATGCCTTTTGTTAAAATTTCCATCCAAAAACCGTTAACCAAGACCGAACTTAATTTGGTTTGGGCGACCCAAATATCTAAAATATCCCTAATAATTTCACTTTAGAGTTTTTTTTTTGTTTTTTTGTATAGCCAAATAATTCTAATAATTTCACTTTGACGAGACCTAGAGAAATAAAATAAGGGTCAAAACTGACATTTTCCCTCCCATTTATCGATGTCACGTCGTCTAAATCTCGGTTCAACAATGATTGACGATTTTTTCAATGAAAATTTCAACTCAAGGGCATGTTTGATAGTTTTTCCAAAGTACAGGGGCATGTTTGACGTAAAAAATAGTAAAGGGGCATGTTTGATAAAACGTCATAGTAGAGGGGCATATTATACCTATAACCCTTTTAGAAATGATTATTAGTGGATTTTTGGCACAACTTATAAGCTCCTAAGTGAGGTTGAATACTTCAGAGCTCACAACATAGTTGCAGGGGTGGTCTTCGGTTCACATCGTATCTCATTGATATCTGAATTGTTGCGGTTACTTAAACCATGTTAGTATTGGACCTTGTTCGAGTTGTAGTAGGTACAGATAATTGGTCGTACTCGACTCTTCTCGTTAGGATTTTAACCCTAGACTATCTCTATATAAGACTTAGCTACGAACCTGTCGTAAGCAAGCCGTCACAATGTAAACCTAATAAGAGATCAGCTGTGAGCTCTTTAGAGCTCACCGTGGATTAGTCCTGTTCACGTCGAACAGGGATACCACGTAAAACTCTTGTGTTCTGTGTGATTATTTCTATTTTGCGTCATCAAATTCTACATGGTATTAGAGCGAAATTCGATCCCATGTCTAGGGTTTCGAGCTTCTGCGGTCGGTCTCCATTGTTTCTCCGTCTTCATCAATCGTCGCTGGATAGCCTCGACATCCTCTTATCCGTCCGTGTCTCGAGGTTGTTCAACCATTGATCTCTTCTTCACCGTCCTCCAGTCCGCGATCTGGCCTCCCCGATTCGGTTTCGTCCGCGCCACCAGAATTAGAAGCGCAATCGTCGTCCTTGTCATCGCTGGTCGCAGTCGTCAGTAGAGGTTGCTTGCATCCGAGCTCCGGCCAACGTCGCCCTTTCCAGGTCACCGCCATTGCCAGCCAGTAAACCTCCCAGCCGTCATCGTCGTCTCGAGCAGAATCAACCTCGTCTGCCCCGCTGATGCCGTTGTCATCGTCAATCGCGGAGGCGCAGACCCCAATTTTGCTCAGACAAAGCTTTAAGCTCTCAAAATCGTCAATACAGCCGTGCTCAATCAAACGCTAGCGCATCATAGTCGTCTCCAGCTTTGCCTCCTGTCGATGTGTCACTGTTGCCGACATCGTCGTTGTCCTTCATCTCATCTGAGTTGTCCAGTTCTGACGCCTAGTTTGTCTCGAGCACACGCAGGTCGCACCCACGCAGCTCAGTTTAGCGCCGAGTCTCTCAAATATGGTGCCGAACCCGTCTTTGTCTTTGTTCATAAGCTGCCTGCCGTCTAAAGTGCTGGTCAGAACGTCTGTCTTGAAGCCTTTGCGGCCGTTGGGTCAACGGTATTATCTTGTCATCGTTGCGGCCAAGAGGTCGTCATCAAGGCCACTCCTTGCTGCCGCTTATTTGATTGGATAAATATTGAGCCAAGTTGGATTATTGGTTGGTTTGGCTTGGTAGTCATAATCCCCTCGCCAATCCTTCATCATCCTGGTCAGCAACGACCTCGTTCTCTAGCGATCCAATCCAGCAGCAAATCGGGGTGCTCGTGATCCTATCCCTGGTTGCCCCTCTTGTTTTCATCAAGAGTTGTCTTTTCTTATAGTCAAGGTGTATCTTCCTCATGTGTCGCAGAGCTAAACCTTGATGCATTGGAGGAAGATTACAGGAGGAGAAGGCTTG